CGATTGGAACGCGCTCTTCACTAAAATGGATACCACCAACGCCTTCACCACATTTAAATCTCGTGTATTTGATCTTTGCGTGGATCTCATCCTCTCTAGGAAACCCTATAAATTACCATGGTACACAAAAGGGCTGAAACGTCTGAAAAATCTAAGAGCAAATTCTTCAAAAAAATCAAAAAATCCGGGCACACTTTGTACCTTGAACGTTATCACCATTACCGTAAGAGTTTCACCGCCCTCAATAAGCGTCTATATGATAGGTACATTAAAAATTATGAATCCAACATCAAAAATAACACAAAAGCTTTTTGTAGTTATATATAAAATCTAAAAAATCAAGTTCTGGCATTCCTTCCTCCGTCTTCTATAGCGATAAGCGGTCGCATGCTTCTTGATGCGGCTAATCTTTTTGCTGAGTTTTTTTTGCCAATTTTGTGTCCTATGCTGAGCTTTCGATTTTTATAGCGTTTTCGGCGTTTTTATAGATGACTGGAAAAGAGCATCTATAATCCCAATTTATAAAAGCGGTAACAAGAACGACGTAAGTAATTATAGACCTATCTCGAAATTATCCCCGGTCTCTAAAATTTTCGAGATTGTTGATAAAGACAAACTCTTATTCGCAATTAGTGGTCTTATCTGCTGCAACCAACACGGGTTTTTTAAAGGTAGGTCAACAGTAACAAACCTTGCTGTTTCTACTGAAGACTGTTTCGCTGCCTTTCGTGAAGGGAATCAAGTCGAGTGTGTTTACACTGATTTTTCGAAAGCCTTCGACAGAGTTTCACATAGGGTGTTAGCATCCAAACTTTCGGCTTTAGGATTCCATTCCACTTTTCTTGAGTGGATTAAGTCCTATCTGAGTAATAGACTTTGTGTGGTTACCTTAGATAATGTCTCCTCCCAACCTTTTGTTGCATCTTCAGGTGTACCCCAGGGCAGCATCTTAGGACCTTTGTTATTTACATTATTTATAAACGACATCGGCTCTTGTTGCGCAACTTCTAAATTTCTGCTATATGCAGACGACCTTAAAACCTACTCAAGAATCAAAAACTTTCAAGACGCCTTTGTTCTTCAGTCGGAACTCGATAATCTAGTGTCTTGGTGCGCTCGCTATCGTCTTAACTTGTAATGTTGCCGAGGTTAAGGACTTGGGTTTTCAAATGGTTTTCATCAAATCGGCTCTTCGCTCACTGAATTTCAGTGAACCTATCCACCTTACGAATCTCGTTGTCAACTTTTGGCCTTAAAGCCCTTATATCATAGGTTTGTTTTTCTCGCTTGCTCTTTTGTTGCAAATGTTATGAACTGCTCCGTTGACTGCCCGACCCTGTTAGAAAAAATAGCGTTCAATGTCCCTTTTCGTGTTTTCTATGTATAATTACGCTAAATTGGCTCCACTCTCAAGAGCCCTCTTAAGCTAAGTGTACACGGTAGAGAAAAAACGCGAGATTTAGACAAAAATCTCGCTAGAGATGTGTAAACACTCAAGAGAGCTCTACGAGAGACTCACCCACAAAGTCTATGTGAGAGTTATTTAGCGAGACTTTTTCACAGTGTACACAGTCCAACGAAGCTAGATCGAAAACTCTACGACAACTCTACGCTCTATTTAGCAAGCTAAATAGACTTTTTGCTCTACGGAGACGTATAGTAAAGTCTTGACAATGAACTTCATTACAGATTGTTAAATTTTGAAATGGCTACGACATTAAATCGTATATTCGATACAAGCACACTATTTTAAGTGCATTTAGAACTTAGCCAAATAATGTACCGGGCATCATCCTCTTATTTTCATTGGTATTTCAATGTCTCTTCCAATAACGGAGTCCTTTGCAAAGAGGCATAATTATTGGTTAAAACATAAGGGGTATTCACAAATTGAGCAGGTGGTCTGGCACTCTGGCAACAGTCGTTGCTTGAGTTATCTGCTGTTTTGTCAGAGTGCCAGGCCACTTGCTCAACTTAGTGAATACCTACATACATATATATAGTAGTTTGGCTGGAACTGCTCGGAGAAACTCCTTTCAAGGGAATTTTAAATATTAAAGGTTGTTTGATGTGAGTCCAAAAGTACACATAGTACCGAAGAGAGAGGTTGCCATGTTTAATTTTTATTACATTTGTCTTTAGGTAACATATTTTCCGGCAAATAAATACAATTTGAAAATTTAATTCTTGTCCATATTGCGAAAGTGTATTTTATGACGTCAGAAAATAGGTGAATGCTGTCAAATCGACGAAGGGTTAGCGCTCCGCTGATGGCGCCAACTATATTTTCTACATCGCACAGTGGCCAATTTTTGGAAAACCCTGGCCAAAATTCCAAAAAAAAAATTGGTGCATTCGTATGCATAACCATCTTATATTGTTAGGTGGGCTCTACTGCGTATCGTTATGAGACAACAAGTCGATTCCCTTAAGGCATTTAGTGTTTCAGGATATCGAAGTGACTGTTGCTAGCAATTCGCTCTAAACTTTTCGTAAATTAGAGTTTTCGTCGTTGTTAAAATCGTGGTATTATCCTTAAAAAAAAATAACAGTTTTCAAGCTCATGGACATTGTAATTTAGAGTATGTAAAACATTTTTTTTCATTGTCACGCCATCTAAAAACTGACTTAAGACGTAGATATTCACGGATTGATTTTTTTTGTTTACTCATTGATTAGGAAAATAGTTACGAGAGTGGTCGAGATGGGCGGTCTAATTTTCTTTTTCATATAGACTGAAATTTTTCCCATCCACCTTGGTTAAAACCACCTGCCACAAGCCGCCACTGTAGTTTGGACATCAGTTTTTATACGCGATTCTTAATTTTTTTATGTCTAAAAGATTTAAATTATGTAAAAAATTATTTCTGTCAAGATTTTGATGTTTTAAAGATCGAATGTTTTTAGAATTTAAATGATGTCAGAAAGTACTACTATATTAGAGTGGTCATCCATGGGCCTCTCATTATTGAATGGGCACCCCTGCCAATTGGGCAACTTTCCGAAGAAGCCCAAGAGTCAAGGAATAAGGATATTAAAAAATATCGGCTGCTTGTATCCTCGTACCCTGTCATTTCAAGTTTACGTTTAAACCCACCAAAACAAAATCATAAACTGTCGTCAAATGCCATTAAATTATTATCAACTGTTGTAAATGTGGATGCGGAATTGCCATCAGAAAATATGGATATGAGCTTGGATTCTTCAGATGACTGCGAGTCTGACGGTGTATAAAATTGTTATCTTAAAAATATATTCCTGTACCAACAAATATGTATGTCTTGTTTATTGATTCATTCAAAATCCCGCAGTTCCCGTGTAAATTTGAA